ATTCATTCGGAATCGAAATATGGCCTTATTTGCAGCATGAATTCGAAAAATAAGTTTATTTTGAATTTTAATAAACTAAACGTTCACCAAAAAACTTTAGTGAGAAAAATCGAAAAAACGAACTACAAACATATTGATACAAATTATGGTCTATTACCAACATATATATATATATATATATATATATATATATATATATATATATATTACACAAAATTTAAAATTTAGCAATAACATTACTTGTATTTTAACCCAAACACGTTAGCTAACTAATACTTACATTCAAACAAATATGTAACTTTGAACATCGCACAAGATATTCATCATGTAAAGTTCTTTATAATTAATGCCAATCAAGAGCAAAGCATTTGATTTGTAAACTAGCAGGAACTTGTTTTATGTGCCTCTTCAAACATCTTTTATTACTGGCTGATGCGCGTCAATAATGGCCACAAACAGCAGATTTACAACACTGCATTTTGTGTGTGCGACTTTGTGTGAATGAGTGAGTGAGTGAGTGAGTGAGTGAGTGAGTGTGTTTCATAATGTGCGTGTATGAGTGTGTTTGTGTGTTCTTGTATGAGCGTACATATCTATATGCAGATTCTTTCATGAATATTTCGCCGACAAAAATTTTTTCACGTAGTTCATTTTTTGTTTGAGCAGATGCTTTTTGTGCCGCCACTGTTTGAGTGTATATTCAAATAGTTTCTTAACATGATTTCCATCCGTTGTCACGTTACATACAATGTCATCTCGTCATTAGCAACTTTATCATCGTCGTCATCAAATATGCAGACACGTTAGCTAACTAATACGTGCTTCAGACATTGTCAACTTCGCTTTCTACGGATTGTATCATCGTCATCATCGTTATCATAACTTTTTTGGCTATTGTCATCCTTAGTATAATCATTGCATTAAGCCTTCTTACCCTTATCATCATTATCATCTCATCACCATCATCATATTCATCATCATCATCATAGTACCGTTTGTTTTGTTAATAAAATAATGCAGGTTTTACAAATTCTGAATAAATTTTATTAGTAATAAATTTATAAAAATAACACACAAACAAACAAAGTTTTGAATTTGACGAAATATACATTTTTTGTTTGCTATCATCATCATTACAATGAATAAAAACCGTACCACTATTGACTATAATGACCATTATAATCATCGTCATCACCAACTATATAATAACCAACAATATCATCATTAACTATTATCATTTTTTCTTTCATCGTCATCGTCGTTGTCATCATCACTGACATCATCATTATACAATCATATCTTGCTGTGGGATGAGTGAAGCGTTTGATGAGTTTATCGACTGGACGATTGTTAAGTTTAACAAAAATGGCGTACAGTATAAATGAGCATGTAGGTTTGTGCGTATGCAAGTGTGCCCGTGCATTTATAATTGTACGTATGCGTGTATGTATAATTTCACGTGTGCGTGTATGCGTCAAATATATAGGAGTGCATGTGTGAGTTCATTTATATTTGTATGTGTGCGTGCGTGCATGCATATGTGTCGGATGTCGCATGTCATTAGAGTGTGTGTGCTCATGTTAGTATGTGTATTTGTCATTGTGTGTGTGTTTGTGTGTGTGTGTACGTGCACGTGTGTCCGTCAGCGTCCACGTTGTCATGTCTGCCTTTTTCCACTTTTATTGCAGAACGTGCGAGAAAAGCGACGATTGTTAATCAATAAGAACAATCCACTTTGTTTGCTTGTTATAGTTAAGTCTATTTTAATGGGCTGCTATTTATAGGATAAAGAAACATGAAAGTATAATGTGCAATAAATTCTGAGCTAGTTGGTGGTCACTTTAATCAATTGAAAATAAGTTGGGTCAAGATATTTTTCAAAAAATCAATCTGTTGAATATTTTTTCTGTCAAATTATAAATTAGATTGTTTGCTCTTATCTGAAACTGTTAAGTAGTTTAGCTTATAGTAGAAATTACTTGATTCCTAATTAACAAATATTATATAAGAGATCAGTTTATTGAATAATTAATTATTTAATTAATTAATATTATTATATTTTTCTATTGTTTTTACATACATGACGCATACTTCCCACGTAAAATTGTATTGACAAACATTAAAAAAAAGAAATATACCAGCTATACATAATTCAAAACTCATCAACAACACCGACCCAATGATGGGTCATATTCATATCGGAGACACCATTTCGTCATTGTTATTTGTGAATGCAACGGATGCCAGCACAAAATAACATAACATTTTATTTGACGCATTTTATAAATGCATGTTTCTTTAATTAGGTTGTTAATATGCAGGACAGCAGGATGCCATTTCAAACGGACTGCACATGACAGGTCTGTCGTGTCCGCCGTGCTCTCTACCATCTTTATTTTCTTACATTTCATTCTTATACATATATTCTTATTGCTTTAGAACATTTCAAAGGCAACTGATACAAGCTACATTATTATTTATAATTTACACGTCAATAATTATATTATATATTAATAACCTGTACATGCCATGTTTATATTCTGCTAGAAAGTGGCTTGTTATTAATACTATTTGAAAATGTTGTACGAAATACTTTTATTCTATATTTTTGCTCCTAAATAATGTTTCAAGTTGAGCAGTTTAGCTTATTACTCAGCCAAAAAACAATTGAATAAAAATTAAAGTAAACGATGAAAGGAAATTTGAATGACTGAATGGAAATTTCATAATTAAATAAAAAGTTAAATAATTAAATTACAAAAATTTATTCCAGAAGAGTTAAAAAAAATATAATGGATTGGCAAACACATATTCGCCTCACGCGCACCTAAAAACAAGTTAATTATTTTGAAAAGCTTGTCATGGATGCAATTTGTTGCATTGAATGTTTGATGAACGCTACATATAAAAACCACTTAAGTATTAGAAAAATAATATTAAGTTTATATATATATATATATATACACACACAACAATATATATAACAAATAAAAATAAATTAAGTATATATATATATATATATATATATATATATATATATATATATATATATATATATATATGTTTACGTTTAATGTGAATCAAATTATAATTTAGCTTAATATATACGTTTAATGTTTGCTTAATGTTTAGTAGGTTGCGTCGAATGGGCTGCTGTTCGATCTATGGCAGCTCCATAACACCGTGGGGATCCATGGTGTTACTCCACAGGGCGAGTATGTGGACAAGCAGGGTAAAGCAAGGTCTCAGAATAAGCGTCTGAGAAGATTTCTGTTTTTTCTTTCTAACCTCACCTGAGAAGGTTTCTGTGTTCTCATACTAACCTCGATGTTTGTGATATGGCTGCGTTAGAATAGACAAAGAGTCCTGATCCATTGATCTTTGGGGGCAATTTCTTCGGGAGGATGCAGCGGCTGCCCATAACTTACATGCATGCAGCAGCACGGCGATGACGTAAACGTTATAGAGATTGATTTTAGTCGTCAGTGAGATACTTGAGTGCCATGTGTTGCCGTTCAAGAACCTCACACATGAACGGGAATGGCGTTTTATATATAATTTATTCTTACTTGATAATTTTTAATAAAAGGGTCTTCAAAATTTTTTTCACATAAACTTTTGCTGTAGTTAGATAAATAAATAAATAGTTTATATTTTTTATTAAGAAAGTGTGAATTGGACTAACAAAAATGAAATCATAAAAACAATTATATGAATTAAAAATAATCAAAATTTATTTCCATACTATTTTTTTCTATACATATATTTGAATAAAAAGTAATTCATCAAATGAAACTAGATAAAAAAAAAACCTGTTTATTACTTTTGAAAATAAAAAAATATCGACTGAAAGCAGGCGGCATGTGTGCATAAGAAATTAATTTATTCAAATCTTAAACATAAAAAAAATATTGTTATAAGTTTAAAGTAAACGTTGAACGTAGTAAATTTTAAGGATAGAGAGTAATATTTAACAGAAGTGGAAATTGTACAAGTTATATTATTAAGTACACATCAGTAGAACATTCGCAATTTTACACTCACTCACGTCATACCGCATAGCGCTCTGCAACAGCATGCACATTACATCAATCCACATTAACTCAAACACATTAACGTCCACACGTCCAAGAGCAAACAGAATGTATTTGTATCTTTGTGTAATTATATATATATATATATATATATATATATATATATATATATATAATAAGTATATATTTTTATTTACCTATTTATTTATTTATTTAACGGCGATGAGCTTTAAATATAATAACAAAATGCACAATTATAGAATTTCATATCAAATAGTTACTAAAGTTTATTTAGTTATAACTTTATTCATAACTTTAATTGTCTAAAAATGGCTACTTTTGTTAATATGCCGGTTTGCATTTTCATAGGCTTGCAATGTATTTGACTTTTATTGTTTTTTCTGTTTTTTCTTTTGACTGACATAACATAATTTTTCAAGTTGGAAAACAATTTTACTATATTTCAATAACTAAAACAATTTTTTATTAAGATAATAAAACTTTTTCCAATGGCAAAATATTTTTGATAAAAAGAACTATAAATCATACAACTATGACAACTACGAATTTTTGTCTTCAAAGGCCAAACAGAAGGTGATGCAGGTTATACTGAGGAAGAAAATGATCTCCAGGACAATTATGAAGGTTTTTTAAAATTTGAATGATGCATTTTTAAAATCGGAATTTATTTTTGATTCCAAGATATCGGTAAAGATCCATTATTTGATGTTCCAAGCACGAATGTTTCCGTGAAGTTGGGAGAGACTGCTGTATTGCCGTGTTTCATCGAGTACCTAGGAAAGCACAAAGTATCTTATAAATTATTTATATCAATAGTTTTAAAAATTTTACGACATACAATATTTGTATCATTAGTTACCCAAAAAAAACTGAACAACAAAATTGGGTGAATATATTTGTGAAAAGGAAATAGCGGCAACAAAACAGCACAGCACTAATATTTTTTAATTGTCATCAGCATCAACAAAATAAAAAACTCGGTTGAATGAATAGATTTCTAACTAATAATAATAATAATAGTGGGTATATAAATAAATAATTACGAATAAAATCTAAAACGTCACGCACATATATATATAAACCCATCATTATTATTATTCTTATTACATTTTGTCATTAATTTTAAATAATATTTATAATGTGCATAGTTTATACTGATTTTTTCAACACAAAATTTTTACAATTTCACTTTCACAATTATGTTAGCAGATTGTTTCATATCATTGGACCTTATACAGCAAAACGTCCGCAAAAATGGTATTTGATGGCATAGTGTCACTATATTGTGAATTTAGTTGCAGAGTGTGGCCAAAACTGTTGTCTTGTATGTTTAAAGTTGGTTTATTTTTTTGTATATACAGAGCTTCTATAACTTTTTGTCAAACTGGATGGGATTCGTAGTCGAGAATTATTGTGTTGGAGACCAGTATTGCTGGTGTGAGGGGTACCATTGTTGATCGTGCATATGATTTTTGATGGCACCATCCTGCTTATGCGAGGTAATCCGTTTAAAAAAGTCTATTAATGTACCAACCGAGTACAATCGAGAACCCACCAAACTAGAAAAGAGAAATCTCGTGTACCGATTTATTTGTATTATGTCACACTGTCTTGTGAAAAATTACGTCAGACACACACGTGCACTTCACTTTTTTAACAGGGCTGTTTTGGCAAAAGTGCCATCTTCAAAGCCTAATATAGGTTATTCTGAATATTTTAAGGCTCTGAAGATGGCATGCTATCAAATGCCAAAACAACTTTTTTTGTCGCTACTAATTTTTGTTGTAAAATTTTTTTGCTTTTGCAAAAAGAGGTTAAGTAACTTTTTCAATTCACCCTGTTTTTAGTACTATATATATTTAAACAATAGTTATAAGCTAAGTGAGCCAAAAAATGTATTCGCTTTGTAAAGCGCTAAAATCTCTGTCGTACAACAGTTTCTGTGAAGATAAAAATTTCATCAAAATCTTGATAAATAGGAAAATATTGAATTATAAACTTTTAAAAGTTTATTTTAAACATGAAATTAAAAATAATGTAATGTTGTTCAAATACCAAAGTTGTTTCAAATATAAATTATTGCAAATCAGTTTCAATGGAAAAATTCCATTCTTTCTGTATGATGCGTCGTTTCCATCTGATCATTTCAAAATTTATCTAAATTCCTAAATGAGGTTTATCTAAATAAATAATATTAGTAACCTTATATTATCTATTCAGAAAAAACGGAAAAATTAGGATAATTTAAAAAAATTTAACTAATAACTAAAACCACGATTGCAGATAAAAATTCGTTTTGGAAAAAATTTTAAAAACGTAAACTCTTCGGGTTTCCTAAAAAAATTCAAAACGAGCTCCTGTATTTTTACTAACTGACTAACTATTCATACTTAGCTGTTTTTAGAGCATGACTTGCTAATACGTACTCATAACGCCTTTCTTCAATAATCATCTGACCTTTTATTTTGATATTGACTTTAGACCACCACCTATTTTGAAACCAGCCTACGCTGTGTTTTGTGCTTTACACTGCTCCAGCAATCTCTTTAAGTTTCAAAAATTGTTTTGCCAAGTCTATTTCATTTCAGGCTTTTCATTTTCCCCCGTTTTCAACAGTGGCTTAACATTGGTCTGCCGACTGCCGAGTTGTCAAGCATCCATTGACATCTTATTTCGGCGCATTTGAGTTTATCAACTACTGACCTGAAAGGTAGTTATAAAACTGTATGTATGTATGTATGTATGTATGTATGTATGTATGTATGTATGTATGTATGTATGTATGTATGTATGTATGTATGTATGTATGTATGTATGTATGTATGTATGTATGTATGTATGTATGTATGTATGTATGTATGTATGTATGTATGTATGTATGTATGTATGTATGTATGTATGTATGTATGTATGTATGTATGTATGTATGTATGTATGTATGTATGTATGTATGTATGTATGTATGTATGTATGTATGTATGTATGTATGTATGTATGTATGTATGAACCCGTTTTGATGAACAAGCCATGGTTAGGCATGCAATCGTTTCCGAGTTCAACTTTTATCTATGTCCCTGGTCTCGCACAGTCAGGTATTTAGCAGCTCCATCCAGAATGCAAAAGGAATTAAATTTTTGTAATAAAAGTGAAAGAGTTTGTTTTAAATAATTTCCTTCGTTAGGATCACCCGTTATATTAACTATTTTTCTTGTTAATTCGTTAATAAATAATGATGTGTGCTTATCTGTTGGTCCGAACGTTATCTTATCTGGCCCCATGGTTAAGTATGTATGTATGTATGAATGTCTGTGTGTATTATAAATTTATGGATGCATGTTTATGTATGTTATCGAAACATCAGCTTTTTGTCCATAACTAGAAAAATACTAAATTCTATTCTATTGAACTGCCTCCTGCTACATCTTTAGCAATCAAATATTTTCCGTCAAGTCAATGCGGACATGATATTTGCTGCCAAAACTCTATAAAAAAAATGTTTTGGAACAGCAAAACGACATTTTCATAACATTTGTCGACCTCACGAAATCTTTTGACACAGTCAACAGAGATGATTTTGAAAAAGATCATAAAGAAGTTTGGTTGTGACAAACGGTTCATCATGATTGTCCGACCATTTTACGATAGTACGATAGCAAGGGTATTCGGCAATGAAGAAGAATCTGATTTGCTTCTCAGTGAGCCTTGCGCCTTTACTTCTCAGCATTGTTTTTTCTGCCATGCTAAGCGACGCCTTTCATGACTGCAACAAGGAAATCAGGTTAGATACAGAACCGATGACTCTCTTCTCAATCAAAGACGCTTACAAGCGATTGCTGATGCTGATGATTGCGCTTTCTGTGTGTGCATTGAACATCCAATGCAATATGTTAGGAACTGTTTAGCACAGGCCTGCGATAACTTTGGTTTCACTATTAACCAAGGCATCAAACCGTAATTTTTTTCGTTTCGGTTTACGGTTTCGGTTCAGTCAGCAAAACGAATTTCGGTTCGGTTACGGTATTCGTTCCTGAAATAATAACGATTTTTTTTCGTTTTCGGTTTCGCTCCGTAACTTAATTTTTTTAAGCACAATTCTCTAGATATATTTAACGGACATCCTACTACCACCACTATGTCAATTTGAACTAAATTTTACAACCTATAAATAATAAGAAATCAAAACCAAAAATGATTTTTAAATGTTGTCAGTATAAAAGGAAAAATTTTTAATATTTTTTTCAACAAATTAAAAAAATCGTTGCAAAGATGTTTTGAAATCATTCATATAAATATCAGATTTTTTAAAAAAAAAGATGAAAATTTCTTCTGATTCTAAAATTTTTCAATTTAAACAACTTCTGCAGTCTCTGAGGAAAAATTTTAATCCAGAAAAAAATCTTTCCACGCTCACTTGCGTAGCCGGTACTCCAAGCACTACCTTCGCTAATTTGTACAAATGTAGATATTTATCTTTATTTTCTTCCAAAACTGAAAAACACATTTCTTTTATCTAACCTCTGCACATTTTCAAACTTTTATTTTTTTTAACTTTTATTTATTTTTTTTTCTATATCAACATCACCAGACATTGGAGAAAATTTATTAATGCTTATTATTTCTTCTTTGTTTTTTTGAAATTCTTCAAATTTATCGACAAGCTCATCAACTGACTATTTTGATGAAACATCTAAAGTTCTAATTAAGATTTTTCTAAAAACCCTAGTTTATTCCAAAGTAACTTTAGATGTTACACTGCTTGCAATTTTTATGACAGAAAAAACAATATCTGAAATCTTGGAACTTGATAAAGTTCTCTCAACAAGCTTTCATTGTTTAATAAAAACTTTTCTCTTACATTCAAATTTGTTGATAAAGTCTTTTTCAGATTTTTCAATTTTTGTTTGCATTCAACCCAAACACTATAGAAATCACTCAGTGTCAATTGCTCACTTTGTAGTTTCAATGTTGTCTCAAATAAAGGAAGGAGTGCAGTAGCTAATAATCTGGTTGGACAATCTAATATTGGCTTTTTGATTTTCAACTCTTTTAATTTTGAAGTAAGAGACGGAACTCGTAATTTTTTCACCAAATCTCTAACATCCTTTATGAATGAGTTAAAATCTGCTTCTATTATGAGTCTTTATTGCTAATTACAAAGTATGTGCAGCACACCTAATTCTTACCAAATTATTAAAGGAAAAGTTAATATTGTAAATGAGCTTTTTTCGAAGTGATTTTTTTCAATTTCCGTTTCTATTTGGGTAATATCGTTTTCTATGTCTTCTCCTAACAAGTTGACAAATGAAACCATATTGCTCCCATTGTCGGTAGTGACTGAATAAATGTGCTTGATGTTTATTTTATATTTATTCAGCACTTTTTCAACCATATTCTTAATGTAGACTCCAGTATGTTTATCCTTTAACTCTGCCATTCCAAAAGTAAACAAATTTATTTTATCATCTTTTATAATTTGAGCATTGATCAATAAAATTGACCTATTTAGACGAGTGGCTGTATCAATTTAAAAAAAATTATTTGATTCTTAAGAATACAACTTATTTTACCAATTATACTAAATGCAGTTTCTGGGATCATTAATTTCACATTTTCTGCATTTATGGAATAATTGTTTCCATTCGCGGAAATTACTGGATGTAGAATTTTTTTAAATCATGAATATTCTATCATTTCAAAAGAACATCCATTAATTGTGATAAGTTCAAGTTCAATACACGCTTCAACGACTGTTTCTTTATTCAACAGAACCTTCAACAAATTTGATTTTACGAATTTGTCTAGTGTTTCTATACGATAATTTGTTTGATTGGTGGCAATAGCTGTTGTCTCATCATACTTTAACTTTATTCTTTGCTGAACACTTTCAAACTCCTCATCATGGTTACGTTTCAAATGGCGTTCCACGTTGGCAGCATGATCTCTTTTTATAATAGCTTCACAAATACTACAAGTGCTTTTATTGTCCGTTTTATTATATTAAAAAATACTCGGCTGGCGTTTTTTCGGTTTCGTCTCATTCTAAATTTTAAAGATATTAATATAAAAATAACTTTTAAACATCTCTTAAAAACAAAATTTGAAAAACTAGGAGATAGGTGTTCGGTCATTTTAAATTTAAAAAATATTAATATAAAAAGAACTTTAAAACATTTCTTAAAGGCAAAATTTAGAAAACTCCTACTTAAAAAAATCACTTAAAAACCCTCAACACCCTTAAAAACTCGCACTTTTTATAGTTTTTGTTGTCATTAAAGTTGTCTATTGTTTATTGTTGTCATTAAAGTTAACGATTTTAACCCGAAAAAACTAAAATTGCAAAAAAATGGCCTAGCTTTGACGATCTTAGTAAACCGATAGGAGCGCAGATTTCCGACTTTAATGCAAAGTTTAACATTGTAAAAAAGTAAACAAAACAAAAAATTTAATTAATCTGTAAAAATTAAAATAATTCACAATCTTTTTTGCAAATTGTAATTTGCAAAGATTTTGAAGATGATCGTACTTGATCGTAATTGATCTCTAATTTCTCCGATTATATTGGATTCCTCTTCACGTTGCAATTCTTACTCAAATGATCGGCAAACTCAGTTCGAAAAGCAAACGAAAGATAAGAAATTTTCAAGGATAATAAATTCAACGTAGAATTTTAAAAAACGAAATAGTATCTAAATATTTTTTCTGAATTTGACAAAAATATTTTCTTTTAAAATTTTAGCATCGAACGGTTAAACTAGCAAATAATATTTCGGTTTGGTTACGGTTTTTGTTCCGAGCAAAATTTCGGTTTTTAACGGTTTTTGGTTACGGTTCATTTCCGGGTCAATGCTCTGCAATTAACACCAACAAGACCAAAGCAGCCCGCACTTCAAAAACTACGATCCGTAAAACGCTATATTCAGCTATATTCACTAGGCTCCTCCTTGAAACCTGGATCATGTACAGTAGAAGCGCGAAACGGTTGAATCCCTTCCACATCAAGTGGTAAAACAAACTTTCAAATACTACAATTCACGTTTAGCTGTTTCAAGAGTATGACTTATGTATGTATGTAAAATTATTTTTTGGTTTTGAAATAAGAAATTAAAAAATAAAAACAATATCTAAAAACATTATTTGTACTTATTCAGTCAAATATTGCTTGATAATTTAAATTCAAATGTATTGAAAATCATATATAAAAAAAGTAATCATTAACAAATATAGGTAGCGTGGTTAATTGATGGAATGCCGTTAACTATGGGCGATAAGCGAGTCATCGACGATCCGAGAATAAATGTCATCCAGAACGATAAAAGAGAATGGAACCTACAGCTACAAAATGTCATGTCTTCGGACTCAGGTCTTTATATGTGCACCGTCAATACAAAAACAGTCATAACAAAAACGGTCTGGCTCGCAGTTAACGGTAATTTTTTAATTTGTTATGTTTTTATTTATTAGTTTTTTTTAATTTATATTAGACTACCAAATGTCGTGTAACTTCATCTATTGTAACATATCATTCTTTTTTGATAAACCTAGATCAAAATACGCAAATATTTTCAAGCCGTAAAACATGGCTGAAAAATAATTACAACAATTACAAATCCTACCCCTGCATAAATAATAATTAAACGCCATCAAATCGACAGTTGCCTCGGACGAAACAAGATGTTTTTTAGACTGACAATTAGTCAAAAATTTTTTGACTGCATTGTTGAACCGATTAAACATCAGTTGAACTCCTAATCAAGGCTCTGTGTTGGCTCCCCCGCTGTTTGATATCTTTTTTGCATTAATGCTGACAGTCGCTTTCCGGAATCGCTGCAAGAATACCAATCTGCTAACGCACAAACGGCAATTTATTTATATCAAACGCCTTCAGGCTAAAACTGTACCAGCTGCATGTTGCACAATGCACAATCATCAATCAGCAAAGAGAAGATTGCAAACCGCAGCTTCAAGAAAGAGTCCAATTTGAGCTAATTTGAATGAAATTACTTGACAATTTTTTAGTAAACAAAAAAATTATTAATAATACGTGAAAATATTTTATTTTTATGCAGTTCCACCGACAATTTTGAACAATATTTCATTAAAAGATCAGCAAGTTATAGAAGGAGTGAATGCAACACTGACATGCAACGCTACAGGGCTCCCACCGCCAAACGTTACCTGGTCCAAATTGAATTCTCAAAAAAACAACAATAATATTAATAATAATAAATCTGATATGAAACCGTGTTCGAACATACAGCTTTCTCAGTGTGAATTGTTTGAAAGTTTGTACATGTTTAGATATTTTGCTTTATAATAATATTATTCTTCTAATTTATTAAAATTAACTTGATAACAACCACTTAAAACAGTAATTTATAAAATTTTCGAGTATTTTCATAAAATAATGCAGATCTTTTACCTATTTTTTTGTAGTATTAAACTACTAAAGATTATTGTAACAAACTAGAGATAAACAATCAACATATTATTATGTGCAACGTAACTTACCTCATTTGTTAGAATAAGAGTTGTTAAAATATCTTAAAGACTGCTAATAGTATACGATCTATCTGGATTTCATAATTTCGTCATTTATAAGGTTGAAATTATTTACCTTAAAACAACTTGTCACATGTAACTTTCTCATATTTAATATTTCACCAAAAAATATAATAACTATTATGCTGTTTAATAATTCTGAAAAGTTAAGAAGGGTGTTGCAATGTTAAAATAAAACTAGCAGAACTGATAGTGATCCATTACAGAAATTATGTAGTATCAACAATAAATGGTGGTCACGCAAAAGGTTTAAAAAAATCTGATTAATGTTAATATATTGAAAATATAAATTTTTAGAAATATAATTTTGTTAATTTTCAAAATTTTAACTAAAATTGAAGATCAAGGACAACATCACAAGGCAGTAACTGTATGTTGTAGCAAATGACAATAATAAAATAAAATATTATTGAATTTTAAGTTAGTTTCAAATTTTGAATGTTACGTAATGGACTTCTAATGATATTAACAGTCCAACCAATTTCGGTTCATGGAAAACTAAATTAGAATCTGCGATCGTTTCCATAAACAAAATGCCAGCATAAAGTTTTGTTCAATAATAGTAATGAAAATAAATTGAAATTCGTTTTGTGCTTGTGTTATATTTTTTATGTAAAAAAAACAATAAAACAAAAAATTTTATATGAGATATAAACTTAATGAAATAAACAATAATAAATAAATAAATAAAACAAATGGATAAGATCTCGATTAACTAATTCTTTATATTATATAAAATTTGAAAAATAAGTTTATCTGACAATAAAATTAATATTAATTAAAAGCAGCATTTAAATAAACTCTAAACATTGAACTTAATAGTTACAGACCGATCTATATTTAGGAGAATCGGATTCTTCTATTGTATCTGAAAAACACAAAATTATTGTGATAAGGAAATGGCGTTAATTATAGATTAGTACGTGGATATGGTTAATTATAGTTCATATATGAAATATTAGGACCTTAGTGTTCATTGTCGAGGACAACTGCGTTGACACGACACAACTAGAGTAAGACAATCTTACTTCAGTTGTCTAATGATTTGGAGATATTGGTCTCGTGGCATACCGTTAGTACCAAAGTTGTGATATCAGGGCGTAATGATTTGAAAAGGCAAGATAATGGTCAAAATTTGTCTCATTCTTAATATTTAAAAATGGAGATTTCCGGGCTTTGAACTTGATTTGAACTTTTCTAAAATTATTTTTACCATTGTGTTGTGTCGTATATCTTTTCAACGCTGACATCGTGTTGCAGGTTAACAAAACACGTTTGTCGGTTTGGCGAACACTGCATAGCCGGCATTGTGTCGTAGAAGGCTTTTCCCAACTAAATAAATTAACATTTGTCAGCAGTTGTTGAATAAGACGTTTTCTAACGAATTTAAACATGACTTTTGGAAGGCATGCGATGCATTTCGACCAATGATCAGTACATACAGCAGGGGTGTGATTTTAATTTCACGGATCCTTGACAACGGAGGGAAGCCAAGTCATCGAATTTTACTATCTGCTGAATTTTAGTGTCAGGAAGTATATTGTCGAATTTTAATGTTGTTGTAAAACGATTCACTTCACAATTTTATAGAGAAACCACACAACTTTAAGAAAAGCGACAAGCTTTCTAACATACAGCTGCTGATTGGCAATGACAATCATGTTCTAACTGCTTCTATCATCAAAAGATCAAAACAAAGCTCAAATGCCAACAGTAATAGAAAATATCTTCTCAAGATTTTAAGTTTCCATTGTGCTGACGTGTCTAGTTTACTGATCCCTGCTTACAAAATTTTTAGCAATTTCTTGGCAATTTCTTGTCTTCAAAATCGTGAATTTTGCCCAGGTAAACAAAATGTCCACCTAATTCAATTTGACAAATTGGTTTATCGTCAATGGCCAACTGTTCATAGACACCATTTTTCTTCCTCATGACGAACGCTGTGCATTTATCGAGTCTAAGCCACATACCGGTTGTGTTACACCAAGCCAGGCTGATGTCGATTAATTTCTGAGTGCTTCCGGTGTTGTGGGCGCTAATTGCCATGTTGCAATATTCTCCGCCATTTAAAAAACACTAAACTAAGTTTAAAACCAATCACTTGATAAAAAAAACTAAACCATTATTATTATTAATTTATATCGCGTCCTATGCATAGCTTCAGGGACGCTTGGATAAACAATGACTTTTGACGTTTCCGTAGGCCTGGATAAACAAAATGTTTTTTAATCGTTTCCTAAAAAGTTTGATGGTTGGTTGTTGACGAATAATGGCGGGTAAACCATTTCATGTAGGAGAGCTGTACGTAAAACCAGAGCCGGAACTAGCGTATTTGCCAGGGAGGCAAAACTCAGTTTGCCGCCTCATACCACGTTATTATTATGCTACTACCGTAAGATGTTGTTTAAATGAAGTTTCTTAAATTACATACAACATGTTTCTTATTAAAATGTTTTATTTTAATATCAATACACATAGAAAAAACACTTTTAGTTATACAACATAAAAAAGTGAAAAACTTTGTTTATATTGTAGCGTCCACGTATCAAGTAATTGTTTTGTATATTACATTAAAAATAAGTTTTTCTAGCTTTTTTAGCTGCAAATGTATTGATTACATCATCAAAATTAACAAGGAATGCTCGTTTGTGTTCCTGTCCCATTGTACTTCTCATGTAGTTTTTGATGATTTTGAGTTTGCTGAAACTTCGTTTTCCAGATGACACTGTGACAGGCAATGTGAGAAACATTCTCAATGCAGTAGTGATGTAAGGGTAGATTTCTTCTAATTTATTTTTATAAATGAGAGTTAACATTTCTTTTGATGTAGGCTTTTTTCAAACTTTTGTCAACTGTCAAAGCGTGATGCTTAAAGCTTTCTATTTCAAAGTTGAATTCTTCAACGTTGAGATTAGCTGAGTATATATTTGCCAATTCTTCTGCTTTAATTTTTTGATCTGCTATCTGCATTTTTTCAATTTTAACACCACTCAAAAATCCAATCATGCTGTTTACATTATTTAAAGCTTCAAATCTGTCACTAATTTCTGTAATCATCTAGTCAATGATTTTAACATAGCCACCTGGTACACATTTTCAACACTTGCAAGAGCTTCACTGTTACACAACTCATCAGGCATTTTGTTTTCTTTTCTGAAAATTCAGATGTTAGTTTATTCATTTTTGCTAACAATTTACCATCAGCAATGGCCTCAGACGGCGCAAACTCTGCAAGACTTCATGAATGTTAAAAAACCTTTGAGGTTTCGTGCAGCCAAATCTACCGTTAAATCTCTTTTTTGTAAAAATTCGTTTACGGGGTTAATCTTTTCTAACAATGCATGCCAAAAGCTAACCATCACAATGAATTCAAGTTTTCCAATATTTTTCAAAAGAGAGCCTGCCTTACTCACAGTTTGAGGAGTTGAAAGATCATAATAATGTCATTTTTATATAGCTCCATGGCGCCATCATGACTTCTAAGATCTTCTAGAGCCTGCATCATTTTACTATAATGTTTATATACAACTTCGACCGCATCTAATCTTGCAGACCATCTTGTTTTGCTTTCAGACTTCAATGTTATCGCACATTTGTTTTGAGTACTTTCCAGCGTGAAGTTGAAATTGCAAAAAAAGAATACAAACTGTTCAAAGTTCCGAAAAAGTTCTTAGCCTTGATAATAGCCCCTTTCTTCTGAGCCTTTTTTATCACAAACATTAGATTTGCTAGTTTCTAATTTTGGCGTTAGTGACAGCGTATCTCTTTCTTTTTTTTAGTTTTCTTTACCAATTTTTCTGTATTCGGCTCCACTGAGTCTTTTTTTGCCATCCATATTATTTTCAAACAGGAAAACGAATAAAATAATCTAACAAAATATTTTCGCGGCGTGAATTTAATTCAAAATGGCGTGTCTGCAAAACTCAAACAAAAGTACAAATAAGATAAAGATTCCGTTTTTAATATTTGCGTTTGTATTATAATGTTTATATATAAAAAAAACATATAAATAGAATATAAAAAAAAGTAATACACAAAAAAAAAATTTACTTTGATCCGAATTTTGACAAATGTGAATAACTTTATAAAATTTTTTAAAACTTTTCAAAATTTGCCGCCCCTAAATTTGCTGCCCGAGGCGCTTGCCTCCTTAGCCCCCTCTTAGTAAAACATGTATTGACAACTGATGAATTTCTGACAGGTTAATGCAAATGAGTATATGAAGACGAACGAAGTTGACGAGTTGATGAACGACGCGACATAAGTTGATAAAGATATGATCTAAATTATTTCTTAGGTACTTATCAGATATATTAATTGAACCTAAACGCCCCAGTTTACGATTGTCTTCTTGTTCTCGCTTTTTCTTAACTCGTGTTAAGCACTCTTTAGCCAGATCTGCTTTTGCTTTTTCTTGCCCTTTTCTCTGGAACTCTTTGCTTACATCTCTGACTACTTCTTGCGAAGTTCAGAGCGGATCTCAAGACCCATCTGTTTTCAAAATTCATTGAGGAGCGCTGTTGAACATCGCGGAAATAGCGCTTTATAAGCTAATTGATTGATTGATTGATTGATTGATTGATTGATTGATTGATTGATTGATTGATTGATTGATTGATTGATTGATTGATTGATTGATTGATTGATTGATTGATTGATTGATTGATTGATTGATTGATTGATTGATTGATTGATTGATTGATTGATTGATTGATTGATTGATTGATTGATTGATTGATTGATTGATTGATTGATTGATTGATTGATTGATTGATTGATTGATTGATTGATTGATTGATTGATTGATTGATTGATTGATTGATTGATTGATTGATTGATTGATTGATTGATTGATTGATTGATTGATTGATTGATTGATTGATTGATTGATTGATTGATTGATTGATTGATTGATTGATTGATTGATTGATTGATTGATTGATAAGTAACTTGTACCTGAGGACCTCGAGTTTAAATATAATGCGTAGACGTACTGGTAACCAATGTAATTGAATGAGTGAATCTGTGCTGGAAGATAAATTACTTATATTTAAAACTCTATTTTGAACTTGTTGAAGTAAAGTTAAAAAATAGGAAAGAAGACGGTAGAGAAGAGAATTACAATAATCTAAACATGATAGTACAAGACATCGAGTCAGTGCAGAAGCAATATCTTCAGTTAGAAATTTACGAATATGACTAATAGTCCATGTATGATAGATAACACAAGATTTGTTAAAAGCTAAGACATGAAAGTTAAAAAATAGAGAATAGTCAAAAGTTAAGCCTACAAATTTTAGTTTAGAGGTTGAGGAGAGAGAAGAATCAGCCAATAAAAATGATGTATAAAAACCGTGAGATGAATATCTATAACCTAAAAAAATTATTGAGTTCAACAGTACAACACTTATGTACGACATGCCTATAGACACCGACGGAAATAATGGAACTACTGACCTGATGTCCTCACCTGGGATAGAAGTAGCAATAGATGCCTCTGATGAAGTTGCAGTTCCTCTCAAGGAAGTTGCAGTGTTAAGTAAATACAACGATCTTGATATCGAGGTGAGAAACACAACAGGGCGTGTAATACCCATAGTAATAGAGACATTGAGGACAGTACGTCAAAGTCTACAAAAATACCTGTAGAAGAAAATGTTACTTAGGCGCAGAAGATCGCATTTTTTGATACCGCCCACATACTTAGAAAATTCTTAGCAATCGCAAACTAAAATCTAAGCCTTAGGAATCTGGTGTACTCCTGGCAGATACCAGCAAAAAAGCTGTGGATAACCATGACTTTTGTTTTTTCTTTATTAGATCATTAGTCCATAATAATTTTTGATTGCGTTCTTTAAATATTTGTTCGTTTGGCTTTTAAATAATTTTTGCTGTGACGTTTAAAAAATTATCGAGTGTAATTTTTATATTAAAATATAAAAATTTATACATACATAATGTTTTACAAATCTAACAATCAAAAATTTTATCAATTTGTTTGCTGATTAACGCATTTGCTAGTTATCTAAAAAGTTTTATTAGGAAAATATTTGAATTAATTAAATAATACAAACTCTCAAATAGTCTAGTATTAAAAAAATTAACGTACTATTATTATTTTGTAGATTGCGTTATTCGGGGTCCAACGTTAAACTTTATAAAAATTTCAAGAATATGTGAAGGCACATACCAGTGCCATGCCTCTAATGGAATTGGAGAAAATGCGGTCCGACAAACAACGGTTAAAGTACACTGTTAGTTTTCTTCTGATACCATGAGAATACGCGATTCACATTAAATTCATAATAAAAACTATTAATTAATAATTAATTAATTAAATAGCAATTTTGAGCTTTTTGAAAATTAATTTTTACCAGTTCGTCCTGAAATACATTTACCTACGCTTAGAATAGGACAGACCTTGGGACGGCACACAATTCTTGAATGCACAGTAACTGCTTCTCCAATAGGACTCACAGTTTGGCAAAGAAATCGAAGCACATTATCTAACGACGGCAAAACTGAAATCGAACTTTATAACGAAAAGTTACACACCATAACTCTGAGTCTCAGGTTGTTTGATTTTGGTTACAAACTATTTGATAAATAAAGCTGGTTATTTTATACAGAAAAAAAAGTCCATTGCATTATCATTTTTTAAACAGCTGTAAAGTTAAATATTGGATACATTGATATGGGAATTTTGGTAATTAAATTTTTCAAAATTGGTATAGGAACAAAAAAAACTGGCTGACTAGAAATATGTTGAAACCAAGAAAATTATGAAAATAGAAATTCAATGTCAGAAGTAGTTTAAAACGTTGGAATAAAACTAACAGAAAAAAGTACTCTATGCGCGAATCATGAATAATTTAGGAAAGAAATCCATTTCTGTCAACACGCGCAATTACAAAACTGCAAGTTTAAACATTTGCATGTTTTTTCAGACCAGAAATAGTCATTAAAATTTCAATAGTTGGAATAAAATTATTTAATATATTTCAAATTATATTAACGTTCTGTGATATTAACTTTATGCTAAACAAATTCATAAAAATAATTTAAAATTTTTTATTATCTTATTATCTTTTATATTATTATTATTATTATATTTCCCAGCTTTCGTTATTTAATCTGTATCTAATTGGCTCCATATGTTAATTGTTCGCTGTGTATATGTGTCATATTTTTTGTGTTTCACATGCTTCAAATGCATACACAAAATGAACATATAAGATTTGTTGTACGTGTATTTCATATACACAGCGCGCGATCATGAAAATCTTGAAAACTTAACTTTTTTTAGCGGTTATCACTTACATTTTAACAACTTTCGCTATTCAAGCCAGTAATTTTATACAAAATTAATCCAAACTTTATTGTCGTGAAAAAGTTTTACAAATTTATATAGAGATTTTGCTAATTTTTGTCATAACCCTGGCGAAATTTCTCATTGTTGGGAGGTTTCAGCCACAAAGCTTTCCCCTTGTTTACAAATCTGGTTGTACATATGTAGGCATCATAATTATTGTACATGTGTTCTATATGTGTTGTGTGTTATACTTGTTATACATGTGCGTCAAGTACATGTACGTACATTTTACATATTTGTTGAGCATGTTTTTTATTTGTTTGTACATGTGTTTCGTAATTGTTTTGCATGTTTTTCAAAATAGTTGTACGTGTGTTTCATAATTTTATATGTATTCTTCTGTTTTTTCTTTGTAGTTTTATCGTTTCTAGTTTTTTTTATTTTTTATATCAATCTTGCTAACATGTGAATTTGCATTTTGTATTTTTTAAATGGAATAACTTTACGATGGAAATCTTAAAATAAAGTATATTCATTTTTATGTTCGTTTTTTTTTGTTGCTTCAATTGTAATGTTCATTTATTTTGTCTCAATGGCTATGTATAATTTATGAAAAATTATAAAACAGAACCATTTTTCAAAACGTTTTTTGAAAAAATTAAATTAATCAAAACTTATTCAATAATGAATTCGTTTTTGTGTTTTGATAATGCTATATATAAAAAACAAATGATTTAAAAACGTAACTAAATAACAATTTAGTAAAAATTAATTAACCCTTTTCGTGTTTTAGACATTAATTCGTGTTTTCAAATTCCCATTATATTACAAATCCTGGGTTGTTTTGATTGAACTAGAACAGGTCAAAAAAAAGTAAAACTGCTAATATAGAAGTAATTATATCCTCTAAATAAAATGAATGTAAATATAGAATAAACGAATAATTGAATAAACTATGTAATCAATGTTTTTATTAAATAGTTATTAATTTAGTTTCTTTTTTTTATTAATTTTTTGGTGGCACTTGGAAAAAAAGAATAAAGAATTTGAGTAGAACCGATTATGGCTATTACAATTGTGTGGCCCAAAACATCTTGGGATCAGAAAATAAAACTGTTGAACTGTTTGGTTAGATAGCTAAATTTCGCTTTTAAATTCAATATTAAATTATGATGCTTAATTAAATTTTGCAGAATACATTGATATGAAAACTTACCCCACAACTTCATCAACTTCAACATCATTTTTAATCGCTGATCGTAGAGTTCAAAAACTGACAAATTTGCAAAAAAATGATCAATTTCTTTCAAGAATACAAGTTAAATCAGGTTATTTAATTTTAAAAATTATTGGGAAATGAAGTTGAATTAAAAATTCATTTTAAATCGTCAAAATGAAATAATGAATGTTATACAGGTGCATCGCCATTTCCATCAACACCCAGTTCCAAATTAAGCGAATTTGTATATTTAGTAGCGGGCTTAATAATTTTTGCTAATATACAGGACTACTTTTTTCGATTCTAAGTTATTTGATGATTTTGATTTATTATCTTACAAGTTTTTTCGAAAATGTTGGAATGTTTGTCAAATTAAAACAGAAAATGGGGCAAGTTAAATGTGTCAAATTTTTTCTTCTCAAAAATAATTTGAGCTGGACTATTTTTTTGGGACGTTATAGGTTTTACTGAAAATTTAATGCTGAATCAAAAATTAAATCTTGAAAACAAGAAAAAAACACGTTAAATAATAATCTGCTAATATTCCGTATTAATTTGTATATATTGGCAATTACATCTTAAGCAAAATTGAGATTGCCTGGATTAAATTAAAAAGCTATTAAATATCGTAGATGCGCGGTTTTGTTAGTGGATATCTCTGATAGGCATGATGATGAAAAAAAAATTTTTAAATATAACTGTTTACAAAAATTAATACCATTAAAATGTAAAATAATTTAAGTGAAATGATTTGGAAACAAACTAAACTAGCGAACTGGCTAGCAGAATCAACGGTAAGATAATAAGATAATGTTTCAAACCAACAAAAAATCATTCAGTCCAAAAATCAATCAAAATTTCAAGTGAATCTTTAAAATAATCAAAATAAGCCTTATAACATACAATCAAATAATAAAGTCAATCAAATAATCAAGCGCAAAATTAATGAGACAATATGTTAACAAACAATCAGTCAATCAAAAAATTACTAAAAATATAAATAATAAACCTAACAAACAGCAAAAATAATCGATAAAACAGGATTATACATATCAAACAATCAATTAAACAATGACAGAAAAAAATACAACAATCAGTCGAGCAAGCAATAAAAGACAAAAAACCAGTAGACAACAAATCAACATGTTATAAATAAATGAAGCAGGTATGCTAAAATCATGCAATAATCAAACAAATATGCAACAAAAATCAATATTCAATTATACAAGATTAAATCGACAAGCATCTAAAAATAACTAATCAAATAAGCAAGAAACAAGCATTTAAGCAAGCAATAAATGACAAAGTTAAAAAAATAATTAATCTATTAAACAAAAAACAAAATAATTAAAAAAAATCAGATGGGACAGCCAAATAATATTAATCTAAAAATATTTAATAGGACCAGCTCTAAATAATGAAAGTGATTTAAAAAAGTAGGAGCAACAGTTAATTAATTAATGACATAAAAACGGACCGTAGTAAACGAAAGCATATTTAGCTAGATGAAATAGTGAGAATGAGAAGAAGATCTAGGACTCGAAAGTTTAGGTTTTTATGAAAGATCATAACAATGTTCTGGAAAATTGAGATTTGAACATCAAAACGCATAGCTTAAAGACATTTCTATGTGTACTGTACTGTTTTACGACAATTAATAAAGCATATTTATAAAATATAAACTCTTAAATTATTTTAACGTTAATTAGAATGTATAAAAGCTTAAAAATATATTATAATACATTATAATAAGAAAATAAAGTATATTACAATAAAAAACTACCTGACAGAAGTGTGCTTTTTCCAACAACCTACTAGCCAGCTACTCATGTTCCTTATCGAGCTTAGTTGAGGTCGGCAATGCATGGTGACATCTTTTAAACAACTCAAGAGTGAATAAACGTAAACGTAAATCAACGCATCCCACATTTTTTGCATGTGATAGCTGGGAATCTCCTTACATTCGAACCAAGTCACTGCATCAACAATGCCAGGCATTTAACCATTACACCATCGCGCCTTAGTTACCTTAAACTTTAGCTTAGTCAAGAAACTTTTGGAAATATGAAATGCCAAGACATATTCGAAAGGCAAGACAAAATGAGTTTCACAGTGGTTTCAGGGACACTTTTTGGAGATTGGAATTTTGTATTATTATCCAATTTTCTTGAATTTTGGAGTGTTTTTGGAAAAATCTAGTCGAAGTGAGCATGAGGTGTTTTAAATAACGATGTTATAAAAATGAAAAGTGACATTTTTTTTGGCTTTTTATAAAAAATGTAGAAAAGGATATTAATGAAGATTCTAACAACAATCACAAGAAGCAAAACTTTAATGAAATTGCGAAATATTCTTTGTATATAGTTAAATTCATTTTCACAACATTTTTTCACCTTAGCCAGAAATTAATTTTTTTAAAACATTAATGTATTTCTTTTCGATTTGTTATTGCAATATTATGATTGTCTCTTAAGATTTTGTTAATAAAGTTGAATTTTTTATATTGCGCTTACTTTAAATTTTATCAACAAATATATTTACTATTCATTAACTTTATTGACATGTCATTCACATTACGCGCATTCAACTATCAATATATGACTTATGTTTATCAAAAAGCAATTTTTCAGATTTTCAGGCAAAATAATTACGTCGAGACATCCATATTACAACAATATATATTATTACAGTTAGAACCGAAACTTAACAATTTCAAATATTTTAATATACAAAGATAAGTTTTCACTTCATTTCCCCGCACTATAATTGTTACACATTTGTTGCAAAAGTTGGTGGGCAGAAAATGTTTGTCATGGGAAGGTTAAACTTATTTCTGTTTCATCAGATCAGGAATTTTTGAGGAAGATATATTCACAAGAGCACGACAAAGATAATCTACTTAAGTACTCAAGTTGATAGTAAAGAGACTGGAAACGTCGTTTTGCATAGTAATGCTCTCAAAAAAAAGGAAAAACACAAATTCAGAGAGTTTTTGGCGGAAAATAGTGATCCAAAATTGCTTAAGTGATATGAAAGACAAGGTTTCTCCTCCATCGTTATTAATGAGTTCAATAAGTTTTTCAAGTTGTCTCAGAAGAATTTTTTACATTTAACGAGAATAGACTTGTGGCATGTACAAACGAACAAATGGGAGGTCAGTCTCAGTTTGACAAAATTTCCTAATTCAACCACTTTATGAACTATTTTCAAGCTATTGCCCGTACAACATGCCCACAAAAAACATTATTGGACAAAAAAATATTTTTGATGTTTTCGATTATCTCAGGCAGCCCCTATTAAACCATCATTTGAATTTTATTCACAATGGATGGAACAGTTGCAATAAAACAATAGAAGTATAAAACACCATGGTCAGACCCAAAACCTTAATATCACCATAAATTTATAACTTTTTTGATTTATTTCTTTATGCAAGTCCGTCCGATTTCAGTCAGAAAAATATTAAATAAATTATAAATAAAATGAGGTCATTATTTTTATTCATACTCATATTTTGATTAGTTTTCTGCTGCAGAACTTAAAACTAGATATTGAGCTATAACACTTCAATTTGAATCGTCATTCATAAAAAAGAAATGGCGACAACATCGAGGACACCGATACATTATTTTAAGTCTTTCATGGTTTTTTCTCTGACATTAATTATGTTGCTAAAAAATTTATTTTTATCTGCATAGAATGAAAAACATGTTTTTTTGTGGTCCTTTCTTGTTACTTCATTAGTTTTATCAAAAATTGATTACTGTAACTCGCTCAATTATGGTCTTCCTGGCTATACCGTTTCCAGCTAAAACTGTTGTTTGTCGGCTGCTCGCGTCTCTATTTTTCTCATTCATCGCCACATCATGTTTACTTGCACTGGCTACCTACAAAATATAAAATATTTTTAAAATTTACACATTAATGTGCGCTTCCGAATTCTACCCATGAGAAGCGCTGTTTAAATTCAGCAGTACAAAACAAAATCTCAATCTAATTTATTTCTTAGGTAGGTAGATATTTTAATTGAACCTAAGCGTTACTGTCTACGATCGTTTTCTTTTATTTTAATCCGTGCTAATTCAAGTACTCTTACGATGAACCTGTTTTTTCATTTTTTAGTTCTTTTATCCTAAAACTTACCTTCTTCATCTTCAACTACTTCCCAATCTCTTACAAAGTTGAAGTTTACAGCGGATCTCAAGACCTGCATGAAAATTCTTTGAGAAGCGCTGTTGAGCACCACAGAAACGGCGGTTTAGAACATATTGATGGATTGATAAGTAGATTAAAGTCTAGACATTCATCCAAACAAACGAATGAGCCGTAAGATAAATAACAAGATAATCTGGAAGTGTTTGCATCATTATATAGCCACCCACAATATTTATTGAATACAATACACGTGTGACGACGATACCATTTTTGGATTCACTTAGGTTAAATTATACGGAATGGCGTAGCGGTTAATGCGCCTGATCCTGCTTTGCGGTAACCGAATTCGAATGCAAACAAATCCCCGCACCATGATACGCAATGCGTGGGCGTTTTGATGCTTCTGAGAAGTGCAATAAGAAAAATTGTCGTATCCATTAGATAACTATAACGAAAAAATTTCGATAGATTAATTCTCAAGAATTCTCGTAAAAAACAATTTGCATCATATTAGCGTATAAAAATTCCATAACAATTGCCGAAAACAATCTTTAATTTTGCAGCAACGAATGATGATTTATGAGATCTTATCTGTGGAGAACAAGACAAGGCACCCAATCCAAAATATCTTATTTTTGCTAACAAGATTTTGCCCGCTCTTTTTTGCTTCACTAATCTATTAGTATGCCAATTCAGTGTGAGAGTTTTTCATTTCTCAAAATTTCTGTAACGTGAAGTAATGACAAATTGAATATATAA